TTAAACTTGTTGAACGTTTTATGAAATAAATTTATGCAATATTTGTGGAATAAAGAATATTAATATATTTAAATAATAATGTATATGTATAAAATATATCTTAATATTATTTTATTTAATTAATATTAATTTAATTAATATTTTTGTTTAAGATATATTTGATTTTGTCCTATTATTCGACAATATGGTTTTCAATCCATTCCGTGAAAGAGGCCACTCTAGTGTGTACATCAGGCTTTCCCCGAGCACATGGTGTACCAAAAGAGACAATACCAATCTGAACACCATTAGAAACAAGAGGACTACCGGAATCTCCCTGAAATTTAATAGAGATAATGTTTAATTATTTATTATAAATCGAGCTTTTATTTAATTTAATTCACGTCTCACATTTAATTATTATACAATAAAAGATTTCGATATTATTACTTATATATTTAGTGTTATATTGTATTGCAGATGTTTTTTTTCTGAGATTATATTTATTAATATATATTGTAGATTTAATAGATGACTTTGAAATTTATAATTTTACGTATTTTATATAAATAAAATTGCAAATTATAATAATATCTTCTATTAAGTATTTTATATTTTAGAATCTAAAATCTCTATATGCATATACATTAAAGAGATAAATAACGAAGGTGGAATACTAGCTTTGTTTATTATATTTTGTTTTATGCAGTGATATTTGAGGTAATAAACAGTAATACTTACGTGGCACGCGCCTTCGCCTATTCTGGTTAGTGTGCAAATGTGACTAGATTGTACCCTTCTCTGGCTTTGATGGCATTTAACTAAGTCATAAACATTTAACTCAATCTCTTGTAACTTATCAGGAATCGTACCACCAAGCTAAGAGTAAATAAAAAAATTTCTATAAATTCAAACACTAATATTTTTATATATCCAACAACAGTTTTTTTGTTTGTGTGTGTTTGTGTATTTATTGAATTTCTTTTTAATTTAAAATAAATTAATAATTTGAAATTTACAAGACAAATAACTCGAGTTATTATTATGTAGTTTTATATTTTTTATGCGTATATAAATAATTTTAAGAACTTTTTTCACTTATTGTGAATTATGTTTAATTATAATAAGAAAATAATTATTTCTTATTATTTTTATAGTACAGATTTTCAATTGATATCCTAAAGATATTTGAAGATATTGCTACTTTCTAAAGATATTCTCAAGACGTCCACTAAAGTGTGCTATGTGGATTAATTTAAAGTAATGCCAATATTTTAAACACAACTTTTATATTTTACGAACTATTTAAAAAATATTTGATTAATATTAAAGTTAAGGCTGCATTTGTTACATGAAATAATTATTATTTGATGTTTACCTTAACTCTTCCCCATCCAGATAAGATGCAGTAAGAGCCACTGGGAGCACTGTCGGTAGTTGCAAGTGATATAGGCTGTATATATTTGGTATATTTAATTGGAGTCGACAGAATAAGTAAACCGATGTCGTTGATTAATCTAAGGGAATTGTAAGCATCGTGAATAATGGCTTGTTTAGCTTTGTAGACAGTACCATTTTCGCTTAGCAGATTTGTGCCGGCGTGAATAGTTAACGATGTGAAAGCACCGGGACCATTTAAGCTGTTAAAAATATTTTAGTCGATTACTTCTCAGATGATTTTAAAGAAGGGAAGATCCCGTTTACTTAGAAATCGATTGATTACAGCACTATTTGCCTACATCACTTTTGCCGACAGTTCATTTGCGCACAAAAATGATTGTCTACTGCTCGATTGCCTACATATATTTTTGCGCATAAAATTTCAAAAACGAAGTCACATTTGTCTATATGAATTATTACTTATAGATCTTTTATTCGTGCTTTTATTTGTGCGCAAAAGTGCATGTAGGCAATTAAACTATAGGCAATAATTTTTATGCTCAAACGAATTGTCGGCAAAAGTAATGAAGGCAAACAATGCTATAGGCAATTGACTTATAGGTAAAAAGAATCACCTCATTTTAAACTTTGTTCTCTTAGAGTGACAAATATAATTATATTTATAGGTGCATGTATGAATAATATAAAACAGGAATAAAGAATGTACCTTACTAAACAATGACCAGCAGTGAGAATGGTATAATGATTGATGATGGATCCACCGCAGGAATGACGTCCGGATTTTCTCAGAGATACTTGGTACGGGAACTTGCCGATCGGCGCGTCCCTTCCACCAACAATTTCAGGTTCTGGAAAGCCTGTAAGATATGTAATGAACGTAAAACGAAATATAAATCAGATTTAAAATAAAATATTGTTTAATTTTTAATAAACAATTGCAAATATTATAATAGGCCATTCTATCCATAAACGATTACTGTTAACATATAATGTATAATGCTACATTTTTTAATGTCTGAAAAATGTAAATAATTTAATCATTTATTGAATTATTATAAAAAAGTCAATAAATATTAGAAATATTGTTTAGCAATTATTTTAAAATCATTCGGGTCTATTTTTGACATCTCCATATTAAAATATAATAAATAATTTTATTTAAATGATATTATTTAAAAAATAACAGATTTCTTATAAAGTAATGTATAAATTTTGTAGTTTTACTTTAATCATCGAAAATATCAAAGATTCAAACTTTGTACAATTTCACCGTTTTAATTGACAGTTTGTAAATTAAAGAAAACTGATTTGAATAATAAGAATTAATCTTATATATTTTTGCTTACCATGAGCAGTTATCGCTAAACAAGCGACTACCAAAGAAAAGAACGTATACATATTGAAAGTATGCACAGTACTGATAATAATGAATCTTCTTTGTACGTTTATATAGGCCATTTTAAGCACTTCACTAAGAGAACATATATACTTTGAAATGTATATATATATATATATATATATATATATATATATGAGACGCAAAAAACGAATTCTAATCTGTTTAATCTGGTACATTTAATTATGAACTCTCTTGAAATTATTTCGATAATTATCAACTTACATTAAGCGTTAAATGTGTGATCGAATTGTGTCTACAAAGATCTCTATCTTTTGAGATAAAATTTATTTCGAAATTTTTATCTAGAGTATGAGACTTGAAGCAATCGGCACAATGATTCAGAAATTGCGACATAAAACCTTTAACTATTATAAATCTACACAATGCATTAATAATACATTTGAAATATTTCCTACATATATCTCCTTCATATTGCTGTAATTTCATAAATTAAAAATTATCAGAAAATCCTTTATTAAAGCCAGCAAATAAGTTGTGATATAAATGATTAGTGAAATGTGTTGCTTTAGAATATTTGTAAATTTATATATATATAAATACCTAATATTATTGTATATAAATACAATAATTGTGGAAAAATATGTGTAAAATTTAATATATGTATTTCATCCTAAACGGTCAATTCAAATCTTTATGTTAATTTAATATCCATACAGTAAAAATGTCCGAAATACATCAGACAGATATTTTAAAGATATCACATGTATCTTTAAGATATCTATATGATGTATTTTGGATACATTTATGTAGGTATCAAGCTGAATATGTTAGAAAGTAGTACATTATTATGTAAAGAAATTAACAAAAAAAGAAGGGTCGAAATGTTTATTTTATTCGTATTGTTGCATTCACACGAAAATAAAGAATTTTCTGTGCATCTGAAGAGCTGATATAGACTCTGATGGACTTTTTTACATTTCATTAACAAAAAAATGTAACTTTGATACAAATTAGAAATAAATTAATACAAATTGGAAGCATATTTTCAATAAATTAAACGTTTATAATATGTCAAATTAACATATATATTATTCATTTATCTTAAAATTCACGTTTTAATATACATTATTTTTGAATATACATTATTTTTGTATTTCTTTATTTACTTATAAATTATGTTATTTTGATACTAAAAAATATTAAATATCAATTTAGTGTAATACATTAAAATATCATATTATGTTAAACACATTTGTATATGTTAAAAATTCAATACAAAATTTTAATAATGATTTGAGTAATGATCAGTTTTAACATAAGTACAAAATGTATTTACTATAAATATATATATTAAATATTATTTCATCACGTACTATTTCACACTTTGTAATTTAAGAATTTTAATATTTTAATATTTTTAAAAATAATTTATTAAAATTTAAATTGCATTTTATTGTATTATACATACGTTTTTCTTATACGCAGATTATATAGTGTCATATACTCATACAACACAGAAAATTGAAGTAATATTGCTGCAATGTTGCAATATTGGAGATTGCAATGTAACATTGCAGATATTTCAAAAATGTAAATTAACAATATGCCTGCAAAATGTCAGTAATATGCCTTCCAAAAACATTACAAAACTGTAATTCTTTAATTGTTACAATAATAATAATATAAAAATATAATTTTTTACAATATTTATGTAGTATAGTCTTTTAGTTTAACAGATGTTTTTATGATATAATAATTAATATAATCCATTTTTATATTTAAATAAAAAATTTATTAATCTATTATTTGACGGCCACATTTCATTAGCTAAGTTTTATATTAATTTTAAATATGAAATCAAAAGATTACATAATATCGAGTTTGGATACAATCAATGCATCATTATCGGATAAGACGATAAGCAATTAAGCTGCTAAAAACGATTTATCGAAATATTAATTATGTGATGACGTATTTGTATGTCTAATGTAAATGCAAGAATAAACCAGAGCCCGAACTTTATCGATAAATTTCACATCGTCATTTTTTAATCAATTTTAATTGACTCGGAGTGGTTCTGATTTAAAAAGAATCACTGCGATTAACTTAACCGTGATTAACTTACTAAGCGACTGTCTTATTATGTTAATGTGTGGATA